GGTGAGAGTTAAATGTTCGGGTTCAGTGCTCGGGTTGCAAGTTTGTTGAACTTCTTCCCCACCGTACGTAGCCAAGTGTGCTAATCAGAGGGCTATGTATGAGGATTAACAGTTCATAGTATGGTTAAAAACTAAACGATTACACTTTTTTTTATTTTACCAGATAAATCCCACTGAGCTATATAGCTCTTATTCAGAAATGACCTGGCCACAAACGAAAGATCAACGAAGTGGCTGGCTTTTCATGTGGAAATGTAGAGCAGCCAAATACCTAAACACATGTTTCTAAATGTGGAGAGAAAAACCCGAGGACCCGGATAAAAATCCACGCGACCACAGAGAAAACATACGAAGACCAAATATACAGCAGGCATCAGGGTCGGGATCGAACCCACGACCACCTGTACACCAAGCGAGGTGGTTAACATCTCCTAGCCACCGCGTTAGGGTTCTGTGTTCATCGTGACATGGTCAGGGTTAAGTCCCAGTGTTAGGTGTCCATAGCGTGGTGGTTATAAGTGTGGGCTCGCCACGAGGGCCACGCGTTGTGATTCCGCGTTGTGATTCCGCGCTGTGCTCCGGGCTCAGAGCCGGGTTCTGCTCGCTCGGCTGCTGCCGAAGAAGCAGAGCGGCTCAGCCGTGGCCCCACTCGGACTTCGGGCTCGGCGAAATCCTGAGCACAGATGGAGCCACGCTCAGAGTTGGCTCAAATTAAGCGCTTGGCTGTGAGCCAGCTCACTTGAGCCAGAGCCGAGCCGGAGCCGAGCCAGAGCCGAGCCACGACAGAGCCGAGCCACGACAAAGAATCCGAAGCCGAGTGGCTCGGGTTCAGCGCTGATAGTTTTGAGGTTTGGTGTCAGCGTGAGGATGCGGTGTCCGTACATTCAGGGGTCACCGTCAGGGGTGGTGGTGGTGCTGGGGATTTGCTGTTCAAGACTTGGGGGTAAGTGTGACGGAACCCTTTCGTGAGACAAATCCCATATGTCAATCTCCCCCACCCCCCCCCCCCGTCCCGCCTCCCACTATGAGGGTCCCCGCTGCATGAACCCATGGCTGCTGGCGTCGTCAAGGGGGTCCCCCTGATGGCACTCAGCTGTCTCAGCCGCTGTCACCTCCCCGGTGTGTCCGGAGATCCCCTGCAGCTGGGGTCAGGAGTGCGGGGGGGTGGGGGGGTTGGGGGGTGGGGGTCAGGATGGGCAGTGGGAGGGAGAGAGGGGCGATGGTGCTGGGAGAGAGAGACAAGAGCGAGGGGGAGAAGGATGCGAGCCGGGCGATGGTGGAAGAGGAATACGGAGATGGTGCTAGAAGGCAGAGAGAGAGAGAGAAGAGATGGAGCCCAGGAGAGGGTAGGAGTGAGAGGAGAAAGAGGTGGGAGTGGGGAGGTGGGTGGGTTGGTGAGGGGCAGGGGGAAGGTGGGGTGGGGGCCTGCTCCGTGGAGCTGCCAGTGCAGAGGAATGCGCCTGCCCGAAATGGCCGGGGACTAAAAAGGGAATAGATGCCATAGCGGAGCGCGCGGGCGGCGACCAACGTGGGGAGGGAGGGGGGGGGCACGGGCACGGAGGGCGCGGAGGGCGGGCCCAGCCCAGCCCCCCCCCCCACGTCGTCCCGTTTATTCAGCACAACCGATGGGCTCCGTTTCACTTCGTACAGCAGCAGCCAGCGCCCGCGCCGAGCGCTGCGCGGACCTGGAGCTCGGCACAAAACCGTAACAGCGGCGGCCACAGCAACGACGACGACGACGACACGACGGCAGCGCTGCGATGGCGGCGTTATCATCCTCGCACACGCGCCACGCTCGCCACGTGCCACCCGGCAACTCCCTGCGCATCACGCACCCCCCCCCCCCGTCACCGCCTCCAAGCCCCGCACCTGAGTTCCCTCCCAGCCGCCTGTCTACTCCGCTCCTCCCCCGTGCGCGAGTGGGATCAGCGCGACGGGGAGCCAGGTAAAGCGCACGCCTGCTCACAGTGCGCTCACACACACACACGCACGGCGACCCACAGCTGCCCTTCTGTCCATCACACCTGCCCAATGAGCTGTAACCCAGCGGTGGACATGGATATTTAGAATCCCATTTTGAACATCATTCATCGTGCAGCATCCCGTGTAAATTACCAGTGCGGCTGTAGGTTCAACTGGAAGTGCCGTGCGGATGTATGTAGAACTTGGTTCGCACCGTACATAGCTAGCCGTGATGAATGGAGGAGCGTACGTCATATGCCGGCCCATTTCCACCACTGTCTGCACCCTACCACACCTGTACAATGAATCTCACGTGCACCCTATCACACCTGTACAATGAATCCCACCTGCACCACATCACACCTGTAGAATGAATCTCACCTGCACCCTATCACACCTGTACAATGAATCGCACCTGCACACTATCACACCTGTACAATGAATCTCACCTGCACCCTATCACACCTGTACAATTAATCTCACCTGCACACTATCACACCTGTACAATTAATCTCACCTGCACACTATCACACCTGTACAATGAATCTGACCTACACACTATCACACCTGTACAATGAATCTCACCTGCATACTACCACACCTGTACAATGAATCTCACCTGCACACTATCACACCTGTACAATGAATCTCACCTGCACACTAACACACCTGTACAATGAATCTCACCTGCACACTATCACACCTGTACAATGAATCTCACCTGCACCACATCACACCTGTACAATGAATCTCACCTGCACCCTATCACACCTGCACAATGAATCTCACCTGCACCCTATCACACCTGTACAATGAATCTCACCTGCACACTACCACACCTGTACAATGAATCTCACCTGCACCCTATCACACCTGTACAATGAATCTCACCTGCATCCTATCACACCTGTACAATGAATCTCACCTGCACACTATCACACCTGTACAATGAATCTCACCTGCACCCTATCACACCGGTACAATTAATCTCACCTGCACCCTATCACACCTGTACAATGAATCTCACCTGCACCACATCACACCTGTACAATGAATCTCACCTGCACACTATCACACCTGTACAATGAATCTCACCTGCACCACATCACACCTGTACAATGAATCTCACCTGCACCACATCACACCTGTACAATGAATCTCACCTGCACACTACCACACCTGTACAATGAATCTCACCTGCACACTACCACACCTGTACAATGAATCTCACCTGCACTCTACCACACCTGTACAATGAATCTCACCTGCATCCTATCACACCTGTACAATGAAGCTCACCTGCACACTATCACACCTGTACAATGAATCTCACCTGCACCACATCACACCTGTACAATGAATCTCACCTGCACCACATCACACCTGTACAATGAATCTCACCTGCACACTACCACACCTGTACAATGAATCTCACCTGCACAATACCACACCTGTACAATGAATCTCACCTGCACCCTATCACACCTGTACAATGAATCTCACCTGCACCCTACCACACCGGTACAAAGAGTCACAGCCGCCCACAGCGGCCCCACCAGTTCCGTGGCTGGTGTGCCACGACCGCATGTTCCTGTGCCACAAAAATTGAGATAGTTCGACATAAAGCAGCATCGAGGTCGACTCATGGTCCACCACTCACCGGGACATCGCCGGTCGCTCGCTCATCAGTCGCCTCTGTATCCCCCTCCTCTCGCTACTGCCATGGTTTACGGTTCGCGTGAACGTCGCCCATCGATTCCTCCACCTGCGTTGAGGACTCGCTCTACCAGACACTGACCCTTTAGTCCCGTCCGTACTGTGTTCAACCAGCACACAGAGTCACAACAATATATTCACTCAACTCACTCCCTCACTCACTCACCCACTCCCTCACTCACCCACTCCCTCACTCACCCACTCACTTACTCACCCACTCCCTTACTCACCCACTCACTCACCCACTCCCTCACTCACCCACTCCCTTACTCACCCACTCCCTTACTCACCCACTCCCTCACTCACCCACTCCCTTACTCACCCACTCCCTCACTCACCCACTCCCTCACTCACTCACCCACTCCCTCACTCACTCACTCACCCACTCCCTCACTCACCCACTCCCTTACTCACCCACTCCCTCACCGACTCCCTTACTCACCCACTCCCTCACTCACTTACTCACCCACTCCCTTTCTCACCCAATCACTCACCCACTCCCTTACTCACCCACTCCCTTTCTCACCCAATCACTCACCCACTCCCTTACTCACCCACTCACTTACTCACCCACTCACTTACTCATCCACTCCCTTACTCACCCACTCACCACACTGCAGGCCACAGACACTCCTCTTTCTGCTTCTTCCCTCCGCCACTGCTCCACTTCAGAATTCCCTCCCGCGTCTCCTCTCCCAAGCTCGTCTCACAAATAACCTTGCTCAGGTCAGGCAGCGTCTGCGCTCCTTTGTCTATTACAACTTGGATGGTGCTGTTTGTTACTGGCCACGGCAGGATTTGGGCCTGTGAGCCTGGTCTCGGAAACAAAAGTATCGTGTCATTTGTAGATATAACTCGCTGGCACGTCCCTACTGGAAATCTGGGGAAAAAATAGCTTCATAGCTCATCGGATTCCTCCAGGATAAATATACATTTGTGATTCTGAATATTTCAATAAAAACAAAGATTCCTCGTACAGCCTGTAACAAACTGTCGGGGCAAATGTCGTTAGCGAGCGCCTATGAAGGCCGACACTACACACGAGGGGGTGGGTGGCCAACACCACGCCCGACCGTTCAGGTAATCACCGGTGTTGGCCGTGAGCGGGAATCGAACTCGGTGGCCGGGTTCGTAGCGCTAACCGCGACACAACCGCTCACACACACGCGCACACACACGCGCACACGCACACACACACGCACACGCACACACGCGCAGACACACACGCGCAGACACACACACACACACACGCACGCGCACACACACAACGCACGCGCCCACACACGCTCTTCTCCCCCCCCCCGCTACCCTCCAACACCCACCGCTCCCACCTTGCTGTCCTCCATGACGTCCGGCTCCCCAATCTGGTAGCTGAGCTCCGTCTCCTCGAATCCGCTGGCGCTCATCCTCTGCTCGGCGCCAGGGTCAGGTGCCGTGGCGGCGGCGGCGGCGGCCGTGGGCCGCGGTGGCGAGTCGGGGGAGTTGAGGCACGTCTGGATGAGCGCCTTGCCGCTCTCGCTCGTGATCATCGGCTGCAGCTTGCGCGTCGCAAACGTGTACACGTGGCCCGTCTCGCTGGCCACCAGCAGCATCACCTGCGTGCCGGTCAGCGTGGACAGCTCGTACGCCTGCGTGGGAGGGGGGGGGGGGTGGCAGCAGGAGGATGAAGGCACGACACGTGTATGTTGAAAAAGGGTCATTGCCCGAAACGTCATCGATGACGTACACTGTGTGTCTCCAACCCCCCCCCCCACCCCGCACCATCTTTAAGGCGGCAGTGTTGTTCGTGACGGACCGTTCACGACACACAGATCATCTGTGGGCAGGTCGCTTCAGTGGGACCTTACACCCCGGCAAAAATTAAAATAAAATAGTTTCAGTTTACATAAATGCTGCGACCACCTGGTGATCGGTGTGTGTGACCATCGTGGGTGATCAACAGACGTGACGGGACGGGATTAATCACGTGACCGACACGCGGGGGGGGGGGGGGGGGTGATGATTTGACACGCGAGTGACGCGGCTAGGACAGCCGCGGCTGACGGCCACGTGGTTCGTGACACAGAGAGTCGGACATCATCACCCCCCCTCGCCACCCGGGAGCAGAGTCCCTCCACACCCCCCCCCAAACGTGCCCCCCCCCCCACTTCGTGCCCCCCCCCACTTCGTGTCCCCCCCCCACTTCGTGCCCCCCCCCAACTTCGTGCCCCCCCCCACTTCGTGCCCCCCCCCCACTTCGTGCCCCCCCCAACACCCCGTGCAACTTTCACCGCCGCGTCTCCAGTTTCTCGCGGACGCCCGTCACGTGTCACGTGTGCGGCGCAGACTTCGCTTCAAGTGTCACACTAACACACACACACTACCAACACTAACACACACACACAACCAACACTAGCACACACACACACTCACTACCAACACTAACACACACACTACCAACACTAACACACACACACTCACTACCAACACTAACACACACACACTCACTACCAACACTAACACACACACTACCAACACTAACACACACACACTCACTACCAACACTAACACACACACACACAACCAACACTAGCACACACACACACTCACTACCAACACTAACACACACACTACCAACACTAACACACACACACACTCACTACCAACACTAACACACACTCACTACCAACACTAACACACACACTACCAACACTAACACACACACACACTACCAACACTAACACACACACACACACTCACTACCAACACTAACACACACACACTACCAACACTAACACACACACTACCAACACTAACACACACACACTACCAACACTAACACACACACACTACCAACACTAACACACACACACACTACCAACACTAACACACACACACTCACTACCAACACTAACACACACACACACACAACCAACACTAGCACACACACACCCTCACTACCAACACTAACACACACACTACCAACACTAACACACACACACACTACCAACACTAACACACACACACTACCAACACTAACACACACACACTACCAACACTAACACACACACACTACCAACACTAACACACACACACTACCAACACTAACACACACACACACACACGACTAACACACACACTACCAACACTAACACACACACTACCAACACTAGCACACACTACCAACACTAACAACACTACCAACACTAACACACACACTACCAACACTAACACACACACACACTCACTACCAACACTAACACACACACACACTACCAACACTAACACACACACACACTACCAACACTAACACACACACACACACTACCAACACTAACACACACACACACTACCAACACTAACACACACACACACACTCACTACCAACATAAACACACACACACTCACTACCAACACTAACACACTCACTACCAACACTAACACACACACAACCAACACTAGCACACACACACACTCACTACCAACACTAACACACACACACACACTCACTACCAACACTAACACACTCACTACCAACACTAACACACACACAACCAACACTAGCACACACACACACTCACTACCAACACTAACACACACACACACACTCACTACCAACACTAACACACACACACTATCAACACTAACACACACACACAACCAACACTAGCACACACACACACACAACCAACACTAACACACACTCACACACACACACTACCAACACTAGCACACACTCACACACACACACTACCAACACTAGCACACACTCACACACACACACTACCAACACTAGCACACACTCACACACACACACTACCAACACAAGCACACACACTCACACTCACACTACCAACACTAACACACACACACTACCAACACTAGCACACACACACACTACCAACACTAACACACACACTACCAACACTAACACACACTACCAACACTAACACACACTACCAACACTAGCACACACTACCAACACTAGCACACACTACCAACACTAACACACTACCAACACTAACACACACACACTACCAACACTAGCACACACACACACACTACCAACACTAACACACTACCAACACTAACACACACACACACTACCAACACTAACACACACACTACCAACACTAACACACACACACACTACCAACACTAACACACACACACACTACCAACACACTACCAACACTAACACACACACTACCAACACTAGCACACACACACTACCAACACTAGCACACACACACTACCAACACTAGCACACACACACCGCCAACACTAACACACACACACACTACCAACACTAACACACACACACACTACCAACACTAGCACACACACACTACCAACACTAGCACACACACACTACCAACACTAGCACACACACACTACCAACACTAACACACACCCAACACTAACACACACTACCAACACTCACACACACTCACACTACCAACAATAACACATACACTCACACTACCAACACTAACACACACACTCACACTACCAACACTAGCACACACACTCACACTACCAACACTAGCACACACACTCACACTAACAACACTAGCACACACACACTACCAACACTAACACACAAACACTACCAACACTAACACACACACACTACCAACACTAGCACACACTCACTACCAACACTAGCACACACTCACACACTACCAACACTAGCACACACACACTACCAACACTACCAACACTAGCACACACACTACCAACAGTACCAACACTAGCACACACACTACCAACAGTACCAACACTAGCACACACACACTACCAACACTAGCACACACACACTGCCAACACTAGCACACACACACTACCAACACTAACACACACACACACTACTAACACTAACACACACACTCACACTACCAACACTAGCACACACACACTACCAACACTAGCACACACTCACACACTACCAACACTAACACACACACTACCAACACTAACACACACACACGACCAACACTAGCACACACACACACACGACCAACACTAGCACACACACACACTACCAACACTAGCACACACTACCAACACTAACACACACACACACTACCAACACTAACACACACACACACACACACACTACCAACACTAACACACACTCACACACTACCAACACTAACACACACTCACACACTACCAACACTAACACACACACACACACGACCAACACTAACACACACACACGACCAACACTAACACACACACACACGACCAACACTAACACACACACTACCAACACTAACACACACACTACCATCACTAACACACACTCAAACTACCAACACTAACACACACTCAAACTACCAACACTAACACACACTACCAACACTAGCACACACACACTACCAACACTAGCACACACACACTACCAACACTAGCACACACACACTACCAACACTCACACACACACACACTACCAACACTCACACACACACACTACCAACACTCACACACACACACTACCAACACTAACACACACACACACTACCAACACTAACACACACACTACCAACACTAACACACACACTACCAACACTAGCACACACACTCACACTACCAACACTAACACTCACACTACCAACACTAGCACACACACTACCAACACTAGCACACACACTACCAACACTAGCACACACACTACCAACACTAGCACACACACTCACACTACCAACACTAACACACACACTCACACTACCAACACTAGCACACACACACACTACCAACACTAGCACACACACACTACCAACACTAGCACACACACACTACCAACACTAGCACACACACACACTACCAACACTAGCACACACACTACCAACACTAGCACACACACTACCAACACTAGCACACACACACACTACCAACACTAGCACACACTCATACTACCAACACTAGCACACACACTACCAACAACCAATACTAGCACACACACGAACACAGCAACACTTACACATTCACACTCACACACACTTACACAGCAAGACTAGCACACACTAACACAGCAACACTAACACAGCAACACTAACACAGCAACACTAACATAGAAACACTAACACAAACTAACACACACTAACACTAAAACACACTAACATTAGCACACATTAACACACACTAACACTAGCACACACTAACACGAGCACACACTAACAAACACTAGTACACACTAACACTAGCACACACTAGCACACACCAGAACACACCAGAACACACTAACACAGCAACGCTAACACACACTAACACTAGCACACACTAACACACCAGCACACACTAACACTAGCACACACTAGCACTAGCACACACTAAAGAGCAACACTAACACACACTAACACACTAACACACACTAACACACACTAATACTAACACACACTAACACTAGCACACACACTAACACAGCAACACTAACACACACTAGCACACACTAACACTAACACACACTAACACTAACACACACTAACACAGCAACACTCACACACACCAGAACACACCAGCACACTAACACACAAACACTAACACACACTAACACACACTAACACACACTAACACACCAGCACACACTAACACAGCAACACTAACACTAGCACACACCAGAACACACCAGCACACACTAACACACACTAGCACACACTAGCACTAGCACACACTAGCACTAGCACACACTAACACACACTAGCACACACTAACACTAGCACACACTAACACTAGCACACACTAGCACCAGCACACACTAACACAGCAACACTAACACACACTAACACACACTAACACACACTAACACTAGCACACACTAACACACACTAACACTAGCACACACTAACACACACAAACACTAGCACACACTAACACACACTAACACTAGCACACACTAACACACACTAACACTAGCACACACTAACACACACCAGAACACACCAGCACACACTAACACTAGCACACACTAACACTTGCACACACTAAACAGCAACACTAACACACTAACACTAGCACACACTAACACACACTAACACACAATAACACTAGCACACACTAACACAGCAACACTAACACACACAAGCACACACTAACACTAACACACACTAACACACACTAGCACACACTAACACACACTAACACACACTAACACAGCAACACTCACACACACCAGAACACACCAGCACACAAACACTAACACACACTAACACAGCAACACTAGCACACACTAACACACACTAACACACACTAACACACCAGCACACACTAACACACACTAACACTAGCACACACTAACACTAGCACACACTAGCAGACACTAGCACCAGCACACACTAACACAGCAACACTAACACACTAACACTAGCACACACTAACACACCAGAACACACTAACACAGCAACATTCACACACACACTAACACTAGCACACACTAACACACCAGAACACACCAGCACACACAAACACACACTAACACACACTAACACAGCAACACTAACACACACTAACACTAGCACACACTAACACAGCAACACTAGCACACACTAACACAGCAACACTAACACACACTAACACTAGCACACACTAACACAGCAACACTAACACACACTAACACTAGCACGCACTAACACAGAAACACTAACACACACTAACACTAACACACATCACCCATATATCAGTTATCAGACTGTTGGGGCAAGTGCTGTTCGCGAGCACCGATGAAGGTCGCCAGGTGGGTGGCCGCTACCATGCCCAGCCGCCTTTGTCTCCCCAATGCTGATGTTAACACACCTTACGAGGTACTCATTTAAGGCCGAGTTAACCTAGGGGAGGTCCAGAACAGGTTCAGATATTCGTCCCCGGTGTTGAGCGGCAATCGAATTGCAGTAGCCGGGTTCGTAGCGCAGTGCCCTAACCACTGCGCCACCGCTCCTTATAACGGGGCGGCCGTGCAGTGACAAACGACGCACGCATAGGCAAAGTTCCCCCTTGTAGCCTTAACAGACTGTTGGGGCAAGTGCTGTTAGCGAGCACCTATGAAGGCCGGCACGGCACACGGGGGGGGGGGGGGGGGGGGGGGGTGACCAGCACCAGTGACGATATTTTACACACCGCACCAGGTACTCATTTGAGGCTGAGTCTACCTAGGGGAGGCCCAGAACCGGCTCAGATAATCGTCACTCTCATGCACCACAGCCGTCCAGCACCACCACCACACACCCTGATGTTCTCCCGTTACTGCCTTCAACCGACTATTGGGCCAACAGCACCATCGTCATCATCATCACCATCATCAGCAGCAGCACGACCACACGCGCGCAGCCCGACCCGAGCCGAGGTGCACAGGACCCGCTCACGACCCCGATGGTCTTGAGCGAGATCTCAAGACCTCACGAACGCAGCGCATCGGCCACAGCGACCCCCCCGCCCACCACCACCCCGTCTGGGCCCACCTCTCCCGGGGTACCCCCCCTCACCTTCTTCATGATGCCCGTCTTGCGCTTGCTGAACGTGGTGTACCGCCGAAGCTTGTTGTCAATGAACTCCATCTTGATCTTGACGCGACCGCGCGTCTTCTTGCCGGGCTTCAGTCCCGGGGGCGCCGCGCCGCGCCCCGGCTCCATGGGGTCGCGCCCGGGGAAGCAGGGCCCCCCAGAGACCCCGTCGCGGCCGGGACCCCCCTGGGCCATCGCTACCGCCCCCGCCGCCTCACCGCTGCCGAGGCTGTCGTCGTCGCTATCGTCAGAGGCCCCCTCGGACATCTTGCAGTCGGAGTGACCCCGCAGGGAGAGGCCGGAGCCGGCCGCGGGCCCCCTATTCGGGGTCTCCATGCGAGGCGCGGAGCGCGAAACGGGCCCCTCCATGCGGGGCGCGGTCTCCCGGCCCCGAGTCGCACGCGGCCGCCGCGCGCGGCCCCATAAACACGCGCAGCACGCGTGTCACGCCGCGCCCGCAAATAGTGCGCGCGCGTCCGCCGACTCCCGGCGCCCCAGACCGCGACCGAGAGCCCCTTGCCAGGGTCCCGACGGCTTCGGCGCGAGCAGCGGAACCCGTTGCGAGGCCTCGGCGAGCTGGCCCGAGCGCCGATTAGATTTGCGCTTCACGCGGCGGAGCGCTCCGGCCCGCCGCGTGAAGCGGTCATTGCCATTTATAGAAGCCGAGCCCCATGTTTGGTATTTGATGCCCAAACAAGGAGCGCGACGGCGCGCGCGCCGCCTCCGCGTGACGTCACGGGGAACCCTGCGAGGGGCTTCCCCCGCCCGGGGGATAGCGAGCGACGGTCACCAATCCCGTTACTCTGCCACCAGCCCCGTTACTCTGTCACCAGGATTACCAGCCCCGTTACTCTGTCACCAGGATTACCAGCCCCGTTACTCTGTCGCCAGCCCCGTTACTCTATCACCAGGATTACCAGCCCCGTTACTCTGTCACCAGCCCCGTTACTCTGTCACCAGGATTACCAGCCCCGTTACTCTGTCACCAGCCCCGTTACTCTGTCACCAGCCCCGTTACTCTGTTACCAGGATTACCAACCCCGTTACTCTGTCACCAGTCCCGTTACTCTGTCACCAGGATTACCAGCCCCGTTACTTTGTCACCAGCCCCGTTACTCTGTTACCAGGATTACCAACCCCGTTACTCTGTCACCAGCCCCGTTACTCTGTCACCAGGATTACCAGCCCCGTTACTCTGTCACCAGCGACCGTTACTCTGTCACCATGATTACCAGCCCCGTTACTCTGTCACCAGGATTACCAGCCCCGTTACTCTGTCACCAGCCCCGTTACTCTGTTACCAGGATTACCAGCCCCGTTACTCTGTTACCAGCCCCGTCACTCTGTCAGCAGGATTACCAACCCCGTTACTCTGTCACCAGCCCGTTAATCTGTTACCAGGATTACCATCCCCGTTACTCTATTACCAGGATTACCAACCCTGTTACTCTGTCACCAGCCCCGTTACTCTGTCACCAGGATTACCATCCCCGTTATCCGCACTGTTCGCCGCACTGCGAACGACAAATCCCCTCCCTCCCCGCGCCTCTGCCATGTTTACCAAATCCGCCACGTGACGCAATAAACAACCGGACAATTCGCATCGGCTCACCACCTTTGTCTCTCCACGTTAAATAAATAAAAGTTTGCTTTACACAGCACATCAGCCACACGGTATTCCTTCTGGGAGTGCACAATTAAAGCAAGCATTGAGGAGCTCACAAGGCTGGTGAACTGTCACGTGTCTCTGTTAGACACGCGCATTAGTTCCTGCAGAGTTGAAGGGTGTGGATTCAAATCGTGTTTGGCGGTCAGTGGTGACTAAAGGGCACTCGCTTCCTGCGCGACACAGTGCAGGAGTTGTGCAGACATCAACAAACATCAACAATAACATCATCATCATCACTAACACGCCACATGCTCGGCGTCACAGCTGATGACAGCGTCGCGTGGGCAGAGGGCCCCTCACCCCCGCCCCGCTGCGGTCGAGGGCTGAAGGAGGAGAGGAGGAGGAAGAGCAGGAGATGAGCGGGGCCGATTAGAAGCAGCAGGACAAACGAGCCACGGGAAGATGAGGAGGAGAAAAATGAGCAGGAGCAGAAGACACGGGAGGAGCAATGGGAAGAAACAAGAGGAGCAGGAAGATAAGCGGGAGGAGGGAGAGGAAGATGAGCAGGAGGTGGGGGGGGGGGAATGAGCGGGAGGAGCGGTGGTGGAGGAGGAGCCACTCCGCGCTCAGCTCCATGTTTAGCCTCGTCTCGCCGCGCGTCACCCTGCCGCGCTATAATTACCCGTGAGAGCGGGGCTCCGAGCCCGAATAAGGAGCGGGGCGGCTCCCAGGGTCGCGAGCCCAGTTCCTTTGGCCCGGCTCCCGTCAGGGGCTGGGGCGGAGCGCAGGTGGAGGAGCCGGGAGGGATAACGGCACCAAGCCTCGAGGAGGAGCTACCACCGCTCTCCGACTCGTCAACCCTCCCGTGAACCATCCAACCTCCAGCGTGGCACCACAGCTCGCATCTCAATGCACGCGCGTCACTCGGCATGGGGTTCACTGTCGGCGTCGCGGTCTCACGGCCGCCGTTGGCCAATATCACGCCTCACTCTGGTCACTCATTCATTCACCCATTGTCCAGTGTGAGAAGGGCGCGACCGTGGCCCCTATACACTGACCCCGGGCCCCTGTACGCCCCAGGAGTTGCGCGGGGGAGTAGGGTAGACACACTCGGCTCTCACTCTCTCAGCAGCCTCACTGGCGAATCCACGTCAAATCCTCACTCCCATGGCAGGGCCCAGTCTCTTCATAGGAAGGCCACCTTGAATACCCATGACAGTATTTGAATACCATCAGAACCATCCACACCACCGCTTCTCGCCACCAACAACACTCACACCACTATCACACAACCCACACCAAGTGTCATTCATCACTCAAGTGGCAGTGATGTCATCACTTGTCTCGCACCGGGTTAGGTGCACGTTTGGGGTGATCACGTGGTGTGGAAGGCTCTCGCTGTTGGCAGGTCACGGGACAGACCCAGATGTTTTGGGACGACTGACTGAGATGACTGATAAGATGCTCCACCTGTGCCAACTTGCTGCATTCGAGCCGTCCGGAGCTCCGCTCGTTGTAAGCGACGCTTCTCCGTCCTCCGTTGTTACTCGAGGCCACCTTCCACTGCCTTGTAGCCTCAAAGTGCGCCTAGCCTGGCACTGCACAGTATCGTCTTTCACAAGCCTCCTCCCAGAGGCCGATCTTGACACTGCTGGTACCAGTCATCTGCAAGTCAACTCTGCTGCCACGTCTTTCGGTACCAAATCAGTCCATCTCTTCTCTAGCCCGTGCCATGCCCGTTTAGCAACCTCTATCCAGCCAAACAAAAGCTGCTTGGTCATGCGGTGGCTGAGCATGCGGACTACACGACCCAGCCAACACAACCTCGCCTACCGGAGGAGCTCGCCGATGGGAGTGTGTCCAGATTAAAGAATATGTGAGCTCCTCACACGATCCAGTCTGGTTAAACCCAGGATGGATTGTTGGCAGGCCAGCCTGAATCTGTAAATCCCTTTCAGATGTTCGTATAAAGGGGTCGACGCTTCGCAAGCAAAGAGAAGGGAGGGCATAACTGTGGTCCAGAAAACAGGGAGCAACTTTCACACAGCCGATGAAAAGATAATGCCGCTCGACTGATTGGGGAAAAAAACATCTGCTGGCAACACACAGCTGGTCAAAACAACATTGTTCAGGTAACGGAACTTCTCCACTCTCTCTACAAGCACCCAATTGTTCATGGAAAGTTGAGAACATTAAGTGATCGATAACAGAGGACCTCGGCAGGTGCTTTGTTTTGTTGGGGTTTATGGCAAGGCTCTGCCTATTTGTGTCTAGCTTCTGGTTCAGCAGCAGCAGTGTCCACCTCCTGCCCGGCTCCAGCTCTTCTCGTAGAGCTGTTGTGTGAGGGTAGGGGGGGCACCATACCAGTGATAGACCGCTAAGCACAGTGAACTTGCGGGAGCCAAAATAGACATTTGGTCGTGTAGGGCCAACCCCAGCAGCCGCCTAGCACCGTCCATACTCCCAACTCCTTCTCAGACCTCAGACTGAGCAACAATTACCATATCATGAGCAGACATGGTTGACCCGTAGGGAATCATCATCCCTTGACCGCACCCAGGAGTAATGCGGCCAGCAGACGAGAGCTCTGTGTGCTCACTGTCTATTAAAATAACAAGGAACACCCGCCCCAGCAGCAGCAGCAGCCGGTAGACGTCCTCACGCCACGGCTGTTCGTGCAACACTCAGCCCAGAGCTCTGCCCCTGCACCGCCTTTATATACTGTCAACACCACGCTCCTCCTCTAACCAGATCCACCTATCCTCTTCATTGTTCACACCCTCTCCCCGATGTGGGGTATGCAATCAACGGGAGAATCATTGCCTAAACAATGTAATCCAGCTACGAATCAGGACTAGAAGCTAGAGTTCACAAATTCCCACTCGTGTGTTTAACACGGTTTAATAACCTTAATACCACGTGTACCTATACATTACTCGTGTGTGTATTGTGAGCATCATGACTCAGGCATTATTGACCAGCCTCTCATTGTATCTGTACCACAGGGAGCCACGGATCGGATGGTTTAAAGAACTACGTGTCCAGTACCACAACAACACCCGCACCACCAACACAACCAACAACACTCAAACCACCACCAAAAACCGCCATTCGCCACTAAGTGGCTGTGACGTCACCACGGCGATTGTGCCAGGCTATGTGCACGTTAAGGCGACGTGAAATGTCAAACGCCGGCTGGCAGGTCACGGGACAGACCCAGGTGCCATGGGTCGACTGACTGAGATGACCGGCCGATGCACCATCTGTGCCCCCTACTAGGCCAACTTGCTCTGTTTAGCCACCGGCGCTCCGCTCGTTGTTGTGAGCGTCGCTCTTCCGCCCTTCGTTGTTGCTGGAGGGCGACTGCCTCCAATCGCCCAGTAGCGTCCTTCACGAGCCTCCTCCACAATGGCTGATTTTGACACCTCGTTCGAGTCATTGGCAAGTCCACTCAGCTCCATATCTACTCGAACCACATAATTCGAACTCTTTTCTAGCCCATGCCGCAACCATTTAGCCCCCTCTTTCCAGCTGAACAAAAGCTGTTTAGGCATGCGGTGGCTGGGCATGCGTAGTACATGACCCAGCCAACGCAGCCTTGCCTGCCAGAGGAGCTCACCAATGGAACTTTGTCCAGATCTGTCAAGGATTTGTGAGCTAAAGGACGCGACCTGGGCTTCACTGTTTTCACTCCAACACTGTCCTCTGGACAGTACGGTCCCTTCACCTGATGAAGGCCACTTGTGTTGTGGCCGGAACGTCGTGATTTTTGTTGTTTTATTTTTTTACCTACGTGACTTTCCCGAATAGAACCTTGCGGTCACGAAAGCTTCAAATCTAGATTTGTGAGCTCCTCACACAATCCAGCCTAGTTAAACCCAGGATGGACCGCAGGCAGGCCAGCCTAAACGTTTCTGACCGGCGAAGATGTTCCATTAGGGGGGTCCATATTTCGCAAGCATAAAGGGAGTGCATTATCATGGCCGAGAAGACCCGAAGCTTCGTGTCGAGCGACAGACCAGGTAGCTTCCATAGTGTTATGCAGCCGATGAAAAGATAATGCCGATCGACTGATTCGGAGTGAGACCTCTGCTGTCAAACTGCAGCCAGTCATGAGCACACTGCCATGGTATGGAAAACTCTCCACTCTCTCCACAACTGCCCCATCACCAATTGGGAGTTGTGGGGGTGGAGTGTCCGATGGTACAAAATACCCAGGCAGGTGCTTAGTTTTGGTGGGGACGACGGTAAGGCCCCACCTCTTCGTGGCACGCTCCAGGTTCAGTTCCAGTGCCTCCAATTCCTCCTCTGAGTGAGCAGCAATCACCAGATCATCAGCATTCATAACATGGTTGACCAATAGGGAGCCATCCCTTGACTGCACCCTGGCATCAATTAGCCACCCATTGTATCTGTACCAGATGGAAATTCCTCCGGTACAGCCATCGAAGGCTTCACGAAGTACGAAATAATGTGGGAGCCAGAGGACTACCCTGTTGCACCCCAAGGTGAACAGGGATGGCTCCGACTCCCACCCATGTAGTTTTACCTGGGCTTGCCCACCATCATGTAGGTCCTTAATGATTGTGAGCTGAGACTCAGAGACTACAAGAGCACAAAGAACAACACAGAGCTCAGGCATATTGGTGGAATAGGCCTTGACCAAGTATATAATACAGAGATATAGATGCTGTTGGAATTCCCTACACCTCTGGTTTAGCAGACGGACAGAAAATATGGTGTCTGGGGCTCCACAAGCCTCTCTACAGCGTGATATTGAATAATCCTTACCAAGACCTTTCCCAGAACACTGAGGAAGGAGATGCACCTGTAGTTTTTACAGTCTGTGCAGTCTCCCTTCTTAAAGAGGGGGACCACCAGGGATCCTTCCAATCCTACAGAACCCATCCAGTGGTCCAGACTGTTATGTCATATAGGGCAGTCTACACCAGTAACGTGCGGTGAAGTCAATGGCTGGGGAGGCACTGGCTCGTGTCAGAGCCAGATTCACACACTGCGGGGGACGTGTCCTCACTGAGGGCGTGTCCTCACTGAGCGGGGCGTGTCCTCACTGAGGGGGGCGTGTTAGACACGTCCCCCTCAGTGAGGCAGATGTGATAGCTGCCTCCCCTGGTGCTTTTTCATTGCAGTTTCATGACGAGACCAGCGAGTCTAAATACATTTATACACATACGTGAAATAAGTTAGCTGGAGTATGGCACATGACATGAAGGGGTCTACAAACATTACATTGGTGACATACTGAGATAATAACAGGCACGCGCTTATTGCCCGCGCTCCACCCAGTTACTGAGGGGTTGCGCAATCAGAGGGGAGGCTGAGCTCGTCGCTGCCTCACCTCTCGTCTCTTCCTGTATTTGCAGCGGAGCTCCGCAAATTTGGCGATTTTGACTCTAAAAATGATTGGAATCGTACAGAAATGACATTTATAACAGATCAGTGGAAAAATCTTAATATTTATTTGATTAGATTTTTTTTCGTAACAGCTATTTTTATTGGAGTATGACAGGTGAGGCTCTGCCTCCCCTGCCTCCCCTGACCGCATGTCCCTG